TAATAAAAAAGGTTATAAAAAGGTTTAGCTACAAAGTTTTGCGTACATCAAATCGTTGTATATAACGTATGTTTATAAAAAAAAACAAACTCTAGAATGTCATCAGTCATGTTTGTTTTTTTAAAATACTACTCAGATAGCCGTTAGTTTACTATCTGTTTGTGCGTGTATATTTGATAAACACACAAAACTTGATCGTACAAACTTTTGTGTGTACATTGTTATTACTTTCAAATGACAAAGGAACACAAATGTAATTTTGAAAAATGAATATTAAGTGGCGGTTTTTAACTTTTTTTTTTTCATTAATATTTTCTAGTTACGGCATCACATTAATTTTCTCGTTATAATATTACTTGTAATGGCTCTATTATGGGGATTGATCTAATTAAATATAATTTAAAACATGAGCGAATATCGCACGTGGTCGCGAGATTTATTTTTACAAATTTCCAAGATTCGATCAATGCAAAGACAGACAATCTTGAATTATAAGTACATCCTTTATTTAATATCTTCCAACTATGACGTTGCATTTCTCTTGCTACATTACTTATAATGGCTCTATTATGGGGATTGGTCTATTTAAATCTAATTTACAATATGAGCGAAGATCGCGTATGGTTTATTTTTACAAATTTCCGAGATTCAATCGATGCTAAGAGCGATAATCCTGAATTATTATATACGTTCTCTCGTTATCCAGTAACAATTTTTCGTATTCCTTTTATTAGCGCGCAACGAATATAGCTGCGAGCAGACAAGTGTTGGCCCCGTCGATATCGCCCTTGATGTTTTATCGCTCGCCTTTAAAATCGGGAATGCAGCGAGACGGAGCCATTGAAACATTCGGACAGAGTCGAAGTCGAAGTAGGTCGGGCCAGATGGCCGGTAAACGAACGTCTTGATGGATCCATCCCGCGCCGGATAATCCATCTGTAATTCAATAATTTGGCCCAATAATTAATGTTGGATTTTAACAAGTAATAAACTGTCATGTGCACGCGCTCATGGCGGGCTTCAAACATGGAGTTTAACAGATTCGACCCTGCGATCCCGCGAATAAATTCCTCATGTGCGATGCGGGTTAAATGCTTTTTATTGATCGCCACCGTACGATGCGAATCAGGACTGCCAGTTTGACGAATAAAATTTAATCAATTAACTCTTTATCGATGCACACTGAGCCATATCGGTGATAGTAGAGTTGCGTGTGCATCGGTTGAAGTGCATTACTGCGCAGCCGAGTAGTTTTTCGACGTTAAAGAAGGTATAATAGGATCATCGGCTTTGGTTTTAACAAGCTCGTGGTTGCCTTAAAAGCTCTTCAAAATTACATTTTACACAAATTATTGTATTATCGGACTGGGCATTTGGGTATAACATGATTCTGTATCCAATTAAACTGTATAATTATTTGTATAACTACCTCCATGCAGTTACAGAGAATTAATTGATTTTGGACACGAGGATTGAGTGCGAAGATTATAATCCACCGATAAATAATGCAGCGATCGCGCAAAATAGAATTTGCTACTAATTAAATGAGGAGATACGTTTGTTTTTCTACTCGCGAGTGGGAAGGAAGGAAAAACGCAATTGATTATTCGACACACACGCTGAATTGTAATGTTAAATAATTGCTTTAATTGGATTAGCCAATGACGATGCGGTAACAGATCAATGGAAGATTAATGAGAATAAATGATCGAGAGGAAATTGAAGCGGGGGAATTTAGAAATCACGGGGGGCTGGGGGGCTATCCGTCTCAAATTCCCACCGTCTGCAACGTGGTCTCGGAGTTAACGGAGTTAGAGACAGTTGTAGAGGACGCTAATTAAGTCCAACTGTGATTAAACAGTGAAATTGTCAGCGACCGAATCGACTAATCATGGTTCTGTTGACCCTGCCGGTTAGGGAGGAGTCTTAAACGAGTAGGTATTGAACGACGATTGATTCTTGTTTCAGGTCGATCTGCATAATGGCGGACCCAGCAAGACGCAGAACATTTCTGGGATATTCATAAAGAATGTACTGCCGAATAGTCCCGCCGGCAGAACCGGCGGTCTCAAGGTAATACAGTTTTTCTCGAAACGATCCCCTTTGTCATCGACCGCGGAAATTGTATTTCTCCATCCAGTTCCTGCGTCTCCAGGAACTTGCAAAAACATAAAAACTTTAATAAAGCTGGAAGAGGAGAGAACTACGCGATTTTTGCCTCAATAAAGATTTTATCACGGCCAAAGTTTACATTTGTGCAAACGCAAACATGTTTTAATTTAGACGTGTAGAGAAAGCGCTCGGCGCGCTTTGCGCACTGTAATTTTTGTTTCGTAAAAATAAATTCAATTTTGCGATCTTAATGCTATCACCGCATTCACCGTGTTTCTTTCGTTCTCAACTCGCGAGCGTTTTGATTTAAACAGCATTCATGAATGTGTGAAAACTTAAATAGTCAATTGCCGTGACCTATCTCGACCATGTCCGGACTTAATTCGCTCTTATGCGCGTGCTTTCAGATTGGAGATAGAATAATTGAAGTGGACGGCGTCGACCTGCGGCATAGTACGCATGAGCGTGCGGTGGAAGTTATACAAGCTGCCGGAAATCCTGTCAGTCTTCTCGTCCAGTCCTTGGTGAATTTGGTAAGCCCTTGATCACGATCCGGAATATCGATGTTTCCACTTTACCCGTTTTCTCGAGCTTGAGTTTGTCAGCTGGCTTTAACGTTGTTACAAAAGTTTCTTGAATGCCGCTCCTCTTATTGTTCGAAGAGGTCTTTTATTTTTCCATCGATATCTTCCACTTTTTGGTTTGAGAATTATGCGAAATATATTATAACGACGAAATGTGAATCTGACTGATCTGGGAGAATACTAACTTTTTTTTTTTTATTAACTTTCTTCTTTCATTTTTATAAAAAGAGAAATTAATCATGGCCAGTGAATATAAATATTTTTTTTTTAAAAGCGCTGCTTGCCTGCAGGTTTGTTATATTCTATTGGAAGTAAGCCTTATTCCTGCTCATGAAAAAGACTCTACATTCCTGAGGGAAATAAATTCACGACGTGCAGCTAAACCCTTTACAGCCACTGAAATTTACGACATTGCTCCAGTAACTCGCGTAACGTTTACGTTACACGTCGTTTTATAGTCTGCAATTTTTCACGATGTACTTTTTCTTTTACATTAAGTAATCTTTGCGGGAGAGTAATATATATAACTTAAAATACGGCTAGTGTGCGCCGAGTAGGTATTTCCAGTCAAAGCTTATTAAGACATGATATTAATTAATAGATGATGGAGATAACTTGTCGAGTTGTCTTTAATATATTCGGCAATCAAATCATTTGAGAATATCTATATGATATGTTATTAATGTCCTCTTGCTATTAATTTTTTCAGTTATACAAATTTAAATATAATTAAATATAATAAAATTCTATTTTTCGAATTTTTAAAACAGATCTTATACCCGAGGAATACGAAATCAACAGAAAATTAAAATAACTTTATTTTAATGTCAAAATAATGATTTATTGTTACAAAAGTTGACTGTTTATCAACATTAAGAGTCAAAATAAAATCATCTTGATTTTTTTGTTGACTTTTATATATTCCTTAGAGTGTACTTAAATATTTCTGCGTGAACTTATATACATATCTAATACTAGAAACCGCGCGTCGAAGTTTTTTTCTTGAAACACAATCGTGAACAGAACCGGAGATATCAAATTTAAATAAACTTTCATAATCCAATTTCTATCTTCCTGTCTCTAACGGTTCGTACTTCTGACATTTCACAATGTAATCTAAGGATCGTTCCGCTTGTGCGTTTAATGACAATTTACGGGCAAACGGAAAGCCAGATTGTGCTACGACCTTCGGCAAGGTTGCCATTATAAATCCGCGTACCGCTGAGCTGACTCGATTTGCAAAGCACGAAAGTTTCACCTCGCAATTAACCCGTACCCGAACGATCGATTCCGCTAACCGGACGTTACCGCCGTCATCAGACCCACGCAGGGCGAAATTGAACTCCGTAATGTCGTTGAATGGCAGCGGCCCTAGGCGCTCCGCCGTTTAACGTCGTCTGCCTCCAAAGTGTCGCCGATAGACACATTACACGAAATTGGATGCAGGAAACACGCTGGATGCGGGATACTGTGTCGCGGTACTTGCAAAATGCAGCAATAAGCAGCGATATGCGGCGGTACACGGAGATAGGTCTCGAGAAACTTCGCGGAGCAAAATGCAAACAATTCCACCGCTCGGCGACTTTTATTATCCTACCGCGTCATCGCAAATCTTATCCGGCGATTGGGAATTTTTACGATTTCAAGCATGTGAGATACGCCGGTTCGATCTCTCTCGCTTTTCTTGCATTGGTATCCTAAGCTCGCGGATATGTATGTTTGAGGTGATGTTACACGGTACTAATATAAATTTAACATCGACGTCTTCGATTGTTAACGCGTTTCTCCATGCTCGCACGTGCCAACATTTGCGTGATCCTGTTTCTCATTTGCTGATAATGTAAAAATCGTATTTTTCTATTTATAGTTCATCACTAAATTGATGATTTTGTAGCAAATAATTTTTGAAGTTACACCGAAAAAAAATTTACTAAATCTTAATATATATTTCTTTGAGCAGAACTCTACATTTACTTACAGGAGATAAATATTTACTCAATAAAAAAGTAATAGTTGAATCAAATTAATGGTTTTTGTGTCAAATAAATATATGTTTACGTTCTAATAAATATTTGCTTTTAATTAAAACTATTCAAACAAATATTTATTAAAAATGTTGTATTTTTTTCAGCGCACAAAATCATTAGCTTAGTAATTAATTATAGCTAGAAAATCGCAAATTTTTGCGTTATCATGTTAAGTTAGAAAACCATCAATTAATTAGATAAAAGAGGACCCGATTTTAATCATTACAGTAGCGATGCAATACTCCGAACCAGCTCGTAATATTAATGAAAAAAATTTATATAACAATCTGTCACGACTATGACATGGCCTTCGCGCCCAGCGCGAACCGACGGCTAAAAATTAACGCCGAGCATCGACATGTATTGACGTTATTCAATAGCGAACTACCGGGGCCTAATATAACTTCCTTCATGCAATCGTGATCATCGACAACCGTCGTGTTATTTTTGGCTTCACCGAAGAGCACGGACTATTTTTTGATGCCTTGAAATCAGCCTGAAACGAACACGGGGGAAAGGCAAGTTCGTTACCTGGTTTGTACACTGTTAAGTGCCGCTTCAACGAAAGTGTCAGGTCCCATGATAACACCTGTTTGCTGCAGCCACAGAGGGTTGGCGAAATGCACAGTTCGCAATTGGCAGTCTCTGAAAACGACATTGATTTTCCCCGAAATTTCAATCGGCCGTGTGCTCAATTCTGTCGAAACCGCCGGTGCGGAGAGAATAGAGATATCGAGATACATATACGCGATCGTGAATGAATTGGAGAATGGAGAGAGAAAATGAGAGGAAGAGAAGGTGCGGTGAAGGCGCTAAAGAATGGAGAGAGGACAAGGGAAAGCACAAGAGAGATAAATGGAGGAAGAAAGAGAGAACATGAGAATCATTATTGACGAACAGCTCTTGTACGCGTATGATACACCCGATCGATCTTTCCAATGAATCTCTACGATGAGGGGAAGTGAAGAGGAGGGAGGGAGAGAGAGAGAGAGAGAGGCACAACAATGGAGATATGTAAAATCAGGACAAACATAGGAGACGAGGGATGAGAAGCTGGTATTATAAAGACGCATTTAGATAATATCCAACGACTACATCAAAAGACGCAAGTTCCATTAATTATTACAATTAAGCTGTATATAAATATATAAATTTATATATATTATTGATAGCACTATATATTTAAGGATGTATTGCACGTATTTTTTAAGAAAATACAAAACTTAATGAAATGAAAACATTATTTTCCTATATTGTATTTAAAAGTAATGTAAAAAGTTTGGCGGTGATTTAAAACTCGAATAAAAAATTATTTCAACAAGAAGTAGACATATTTTTAAAAAGTGATATTTACATTTAACCTGTAAAACTGTATTGTGAAATATAAATATTGACCTTATTTCATATGCATAATAACATTCATTTTTATACGAAAAGTTTAAACTTCCAAATTCAATTTTTGTAGAAACTACATATATCCGATACATCCTTAAATTTCTACGCTGTTTTTCTTAAAAACGGAATTTTAGAAACTACTGCCATTTAAAAAAAAAATCACGTGTAAAACAATAATATTAGACGACAGGTTTTTATAACTGACTCTAATTGTACCACCGATTTTTCTCGATTGAACGCGTATCGTTTTCTTTTTTACGCGAAAGGGAGGATAGACATGAGCGACCATCTGTTCTTTATCGATGAATTTTCTAAAGTGGTACGCGCGAATGCAATAAGTTGAACTGAAATAAACGTATATTTATTTAATATCAATTTATCGCACCGTGTGCATCGGCTCAGAAAGTTTATCGATAAAGAACGGACGATGAGAGAAGGGTTGCACTCGTCCGATGGCCAGTGAAAGTCGGGGTGAGTTGATGCGGTTCGCCGGAAAGAGTGGTTCACCTCGTTGCAACTGAGCGCGCCCATCATCGACACCATGGACCATCGACGAGCCCACACTTCCCCCTCTGCCCCCTTATGAACACGAGGACGGCGCCATCCCCTTCGTTCTCCGACCTCTCTCGCCCTCGCTCGCGGGAACTTCAGTTTCGTGCACGAAACCGCTTGGTCGGAGGCGGTTTACCTGATGTCACTCCGCTCAGTCGTCACGAGGCGTCGCGGTGCACCGATTCTTTGGACGCAAATGCGTCACTTTCGTCGTACGTTATCAATGGAGACGCACAAATCGAGGCGTTTCCCATCCGAATTCGACGATCTACCATCATGAACACTCGCGCCGGTCTCTTAACTCTCGTCAACGGATCGTCTCGACGCGATACAGATCGCGCGATGCCGAATCGCGTTCGCGAGAACCGTTTGTGTACACACACAATTGTAAATCGCATCGTAAATCGGGTTTACTTGGACTTACGATGTAGATTACGAACGTACTCCCGGAAGGCTCTATTGAAAAGCTCTGTTGGAAGAACGGAATCGATTGTTCCAAGTAATATCAAAAGAAATTACGGAAGCGAGCAAACGAATGTCGCATTCCGTCATTCTGATTGATCGAAAGCGAAGGAAAATAGGGAATTTAATAATCCGCGTTGGCGAGAGTCAAGGCTGACCGATTTTGTTTGACCCACGTGTGTTACGTATATATATATTCGACTTTAATTATTCTTGTGTGTTCATAAGAGAGTTCTTCGTTGACGTGCATTCATCTCGTACAACAAAGAGGACATTAATCAGCAAAATGAGTTGTACGAATTGCTTGGACTGTTATAGAAAAACTACGGACACGAGTGAGGATATCGCTTTTACTAAAAACGATGTAATATTGTTGCGTCTGTGATAAAAATTTGTTGCATCGCGCTTAATTTGATTTGCATCGAATTTGTCGAGATTGTCGAAAACAGACGGGTGCTTTTTCGTTCCTGCTATATATCCAGCCAGTGAAATATGTCCTGTCCGCGTATTTCAGTTGATTATTTCGAAAAATGCAAGCGAAAAAACCGGGCCAAAAGGAAATAAAATTATACACATGGGATACATAAATAATTTTTATAGCCAATGTTTTCGCTTGGATGTTTGCATTATTTATTATGAAGAATCGCTATTGCGTTCTAACAGCGTAATTTCTTGAACTATTTATCATTTTACATCTATTTATGTATTTGTGAAAAAGTCATAATTTTCCCAAAATGATCGATTTCCTCCTTCGACCGTGAAAAGGAAAAAAAGACATCGCGGGAATCCAGCGTGCATCGTCATTCTGTTTTACACGTTACGAAACTCGCTCAATTGCAGTTACTTTGGCAACAATTCAAGATGCTCAGCAAATATTTCGGTTGTACTAATTCATTCCGGTTTATCTAGACGGTCTGCGTAGTTTATCTCTAGTTACTAAAATAAGTGTGGATCTCTTTCAAGCAACTCCGCGAGACCATCTGCACTATATATTTCCCTCTTGCTGTCTACTTAAACTTCCTTTTTCTTTAAAGTATTTAGCTTTTTTTGCCGTGTGTATATATGTGTGTATATGTGTACACAACTGCGTATGTATTCTATTTTACAATTAAAATTGAAAACGTTGCAATATTTTAAATGTAAATTTTATATATTATTGTTATTTCATTATTATTTTCTTTGTCTGAGTGTGATGGAAAAAAAAACTGAATTAACAGTAATGTGTATTATCGTAACAAATTTATAAGTTATAAAAATGTTTGTACGTTTGTTAATAATTTTATGTTAAATATACTAATGCTGTGTTATATTCTGACGCAATAAGCAACGTTATCTTCGAGAACGCTGCCGGGGATAATGTTACATTGGAATGACTCTAAGCTGGCTTGTGTGCAACTCGCACGATTTCAGAGTGGAAGATAGAATCTCGAAATTGTTGCAGAGTCCGGAGCACGGCGGCGCCGTCCAGGAGGAAAGGGATTCCAAAACCCGAAGGCAAACCGTCAAGACTCATACATCGTCGTCTTCCGGTCCTGGAGCGCCAACGACCTCCTTTCGCCATAAACCACCGCCGGTTTCGCCCGCGAGATCCATCACGCCGGAAGTAATACAGGTCGGTTTCGTCATATATGTGTTTATATAACCTGTTCTCGACTTGACTTTTTATTCTCAAACATTCACGAATAACACTGATTAATAGTGATTATCGTCATGTATTTATGTGAATCTTAAGAATGTATTATACATTGATAAAATTAAACAAAATTACATTTTCAACAAAATGAAAAAATTACAGATTTTTCTACATTATATTTGAAGTAATATAAAGAGTTTGATGATAATTTAGAACATGGATTCAAAGTTATTTCAATAAGAAGTAGACATATATTTTTTAATATAATTAAAGTAAAATGAAAAAATTGTAATTTAAACTATAAAATTGTATTATTGAAAAAAATATTGACTTTATTGAACTGTTTTATATATGTATATACATATATGTAATGTTTTTATACGGAAAGTATTTAGTTTCAATTACTTTTTATAGACATTATATCTGATACATCCTTAAACAAGATTGTTCATGATTGTTCTTTTTATAAACATTTCATAAACACTTTATAATTGAATTTTAAATGTTATGTTGTTTCTGGATTCGACGACAAAAAGTTTTGCGATAATTGAAATTTTCGAAATTTTAACGAAATCTTTGGTAAATAATTATCTTGTCATTTAAATACGTGAATAGGATCGACCGCAATAATTTATATATTCGTTCATCACGATCAATTAAAATTGCGATGTGCGATTCGTGTTTTCCCTCAGCTTTTTGTGTAAGGAACAAACACAATTGCCGCATTAATTGGCAAAATGGCGCGAGAGAAATGCCGCGCGTTGGGATACTCGGTGTTCCGCGCTAATTAATTCCTTTAATTGAACTGACTGCAGTTCTTGCGGTAAAGTTTATTTTTGTTCTAATTAAATTAATGCAAGCTGCGCGGTCGTAAGAATAATCATATTTATGCTCATATGAGCTTTAAGCCCGATCTAATGATAATTCCTATTTTTTTTATAATAATATTTATTTTACATAGATAATTTATACTTTTTTTTATTTGTTGCTAAATAGTTTCTTAACGTAATTACAATTAGCAAGCACATCGTCTTGGAAAGTACTTTGTACTATAAATCTTATTTATTTTAAATGTAAACATATATTTTATTTGGTTCAGGAACCAAATATATTAATTTAACTTAAATATCATTTTTTATTGAGTAAACATTTATTTGTTTATTTACTATAAGTATAAATGTTTACTTAATATTATTTAAAGAAATACGTATTAGGATTTAATAAATTTTTTTTCAGTGCACATTTACCATATATGTAATATTTACCATAAATGTAATATAACACATTATATATGTAACGTTGTAAATAGGAAATATTGATGTTATGTTATTGTTAGTTGGTGGGTGTGTATGTGTGTGTTTTTGGAGAAGATAATATTTTATTGACATTGGAAGAGATTTTAATCCCCCATTTCTGAAAATGTCAATTTATTTGTTGCGTAGCCAGGATTCGAGGACGGCGTTTTGCGCGGGGATTCCCAGAGGCTAAGTTCGAAAAGTTCAGATGGCTCGACTTCCAGTGCGCGAAGGTATAATTATAGAGAAATTATGAACTTTATTTTCAACTCTCTCACTTTCAGTTCATCTATTTAGTAAACCATCATAATTATATGCATCTATATTTATTATTATAAATAATAAATTCTTATATAAATTTATCATTATAATAGAAATCCTATTATTATTATAATAGGATTTTTCTTAGAAGTTTATGAATGCTCATAAAAATGCGCATTTTTTTCTTTATCGGTTATCTCTCGTGCACAAGTGTTTCGCGTTACATGAAAAGTCGATGCCAGAGCGCTGTGATTTTTCCTGAGTACACGTTGTATCTCTCAGATCCTCCATGAAGAAGTCAATTCGGAAAACAGCCCCGTCGCCACCCGTAAATCAGAGTATCCTTCGTGAGGTCAGTGAAGAACGAGAGGATCATGTGGCGACTGCCGTCACGGAGCCTCCCCAAAAGCCCAAGTACTCTTCAGATGAGAGCTCGGAGGACGAGGAGGACACACGCATGTTGGAGGGAAATGTCTACACAAAAAGCGGCATCGAGGTAACCCGAGCAAAAGCTGATGCTTCTAATTCTTACTTGCGCTACGATAGTTGCGCAACTTTCCTTTTAAAAGAAACAATCGACATAAATGTCGTTCTATCTTTGTTATTCATTGAATGTCAAGAAGGATAAAATGACGTTTGTGTCTCCTAAAAGGGAAGCAGCCGATAATAATACGCAGTAAAAATCATTTGTCTAGATCTCGCGGAGAAGCGCCGGAAACGTGAAGCGCACGAAGTCGGAGATCGAAGCGGATCCGGAGGGAGAGGACGAGTTCGGCTACACGATCAGTGAGTTTATACTATAACATACGACGTACTATTCTGTACTAAATATAAACCGCGATTCAGAAACAATTGGAAATTGATATTTATATACTGTTTACGTCACCGAAGAAGTCGATATTCATTCTGTGTAATCACTCTGCCACGTTCGATGGCTGATAACAACGAAATTCCATTAATAATAAATTTTATTATGTATCCGATCAATCATTCAATCCGCATGATCGATATGAAAGATAACTAGATTATGTCGCTCTAAAATCGTTCTAAAATACGTAAAATCCAATGTGTGCGCTTCGGATGATACTCGTTGGTCAATGTCGCAGCCGATCGATCCCCACCAGACATGAGAACGTCTTTTTAATTTTGCAGAGAAGGTTCAGAAGAGGTACCAGAATCTTGGGCACAGGGTATTGATGGTCACTCTCGAAAAGGATCGGCGGGGTTTGGGAATTTCTCTGGCAGGACATAAAGACAGAAACCGAATGGCGGTGTTCATCTGCGGTCTCAATCCAAAGGGTGCAGCTCACAAAAATGGCGGGCTTCTTATCGGTGACGAGATATTAGAGGTGGGTATTTCACTCTCCCTCTGCCCTCCCGCGTTTTTACGATGTACCATTTACGACACAGTTTCCCCTCGACTGCTACCTCGTCGGGTTGTTTAACCTTCGTTTCACGCGCCGTCTATAATCCGTTTAACTCATTCGATGCGACGTTACGCGTTGTGGGTTTTCTCGAGAAAATAACACAATACCGATGCTTTTGTCTGGAACGTATATTTACTAAGCTGGGACGCAAAATAGTTCTGTTGCAGATAATAAAGATAAACTCTAATGAAAAGTTTTGTCAAAGTTTTTGAAATATTTTATATTGTAAATTCCAAAATATTTTAATATTTCTCATTTTATAATTTCTGAAAAGATGCCTTAAACTTTTTGTTTTCAGATTTTATAAGATTTTATCAGGAACTGTAAAATGAGAAATGTTAGAGTATATTTTAGAATTTAATGTATAAAGAATTCTAAAAAAATGTAGACTCTTTTGATACTTTTGAAAAGTGTTTCAATTTGTATGCAAAATCTGAGAAATTTTTTCAAGAGTTACGAAATTCTTCAGAAATTCTGAAGAACTATGAAATTTACATGAAATTTCTGAAAAATTGTATACAAAATTCAGAGAAAAATTTTCGTTAAAAAAAAAAACCTTGTAAGCCTTCAAATTTTACGAGAGAATTTTAAAATATAATTAAAATATTTAGAATTTTATATAAGTATGTAATTTAAAAAATTATATAGTATAATAATTTGAAAACTATCCGTGAGTCAAAGAAAGTATCAGAAAAAAATTAAGTCATATCCGAATGTGCACACACTTAAGCCTCTATTTTATTTTTATTAAAATTATTTTTTATCTTTATAGCGCCTACCTACAAACGAATGTCGAAAGAATGTTACACTTATTTGTTAACTCGCATTTTACAAGTCTCGTTTTGTTATACGTTTCATTCTATTACGTAATATGGTAAATACTAAAAATAGATAAAATATTTTTTGTTCCACTTAGGTAAACGGCTACGTATTGCAAGGACGATGTCATCTGAATGCTTCCGCTCTTATCAAAGGAATGGCCGGTACTCTCTTCAAAATCATCGTCTATCGGTGAGATACTCAGAGCTCTTTTTCCGCGATGTAACATGACGTAGAGACGACATGTATAACAAAATTCATTAAAACTATAAACGGATTTCGCTTGTCCCGGTTGTAGACGATCGAAGGCTGTCGACGACATCGCCGTAAAGCCGATAGTCCAATTTCCACCAACCTTGGATGACGTAAGTCAATTCGCGGCGTCCACCTTTTTTTTTTACTTTTGTCGTACCGATTGCAGTATTCGTAGAATAATCAATGAGAAGCAATTGATTCCATCATAATAATATACTTGACTTGTTGCAATTAACAGCGACTACGAGGGAAAAAGTGCTGTATAATTATTTTAATGAACATATAAACGAATAATGACTGAATATTTTAATGAATATTTTGTGAATATTTTGAAATAAAACAGCTGAATTACTTATTAATATATAGGACAGTTTATTTCATATGAAAAAGGACAAATTTAAATATTCAAATCTGTTGAGCATCAATGTAAAATTATTTTTAAATTATACAGAATGTCCAGTAGATCATGTGATAAGAAAAAGATATCAAAGATGCCGTAAATTTATTTGAACATTTTTTACAAGATAAAATTATATAATTCTTTATTTTGGAATATTTGATAGCTGTATCATATTGCCGTGAAACACTAGACGACATTTCACGTGTTACAGGTTTATATAGATTTCAAGAAGTACAAAGGAGTTCGTGACGTGCGAGTGAAGAAGGCAAGTGACTATAATTATACAAAATTAGTCAGCCAGTCAATATTTTACACAATCTTACTTTCTAAAACTAATTGTCGATCAACTCGTAGAGTCAATACGGCCTCGGCATAATGATCATCGAAGGGAAACACCTAGCCGTAGGGCAAGGCATTTTCGTGTCCGACATTCAAGAAGGCAGTGCGGCGGAACAGGTAATTTTCGCTCGAACTTACGACCTTGAGAGACCTATTTTAAGCGAAACTCATGTACTTTACAACGCGACCAATATTTCAGGCTGGATTGCAAGTGGGAGACATGATCCTGGCCGTTAATCTGGACAGCTTATTAGGCCGTACGTACGATGAGGTTCGTATTTTTCACGTTTCTTTTTTTTAAATAAGGATTTATTTTACCAATTTAGGTGTTAAACATTTAGGCAGTTTATGTTCTACTTTGTCCTAATTTTTTTAGGCGACGGAATTATTGAAGAAAGCGGAAGGTGTCGTTAAGCTAGTAGTTTGCAATCCTAACGAGAATAAAGAACAGAAGGAGAAACAGAAGATTAAAGAACTCAAGGATGGTTCGTTAACTTCGGTTGCACAGAAGACCCCGCAAAAGAGTGGGACAGTTTCGGGTGAGTTTGAACAATAATATGATTAGTGTCTTTATGTGAAAGAAAAAAAAAACGATTTTGATAAAGTGCCTAAAAATTTAGCTAAAAACAGATCTAAAAATATCTAATTTTGTTGAGCCATAAAAATAATTATACAGGACGCTTAAATTTGTTGCTAGAGTGTTAAAGCTTTTTAGGATTACTGTCAACGTTCATACGTTTTACGTTATTTTGACAGTTCAACAAAATTATTTTCAGATCTGTATCTAGCTAAATTGTTAGATATTTCAGCAAAACCGTTTTTTCCATATATTTTACTTACGGAAAATCTCGTAATAACACATACACATACATTTCATTCTTAAAAGTATATACGATTATATTTTGTATTTAATGTTTGATTCCCCGCTCTTGTAATGTTAGTGCCCGGCAAGGAACCGGTAGAACCCGAAGAGAAAAAGGTCCGGCAGGATCCAAAGACTTGCAAGATCGAAGTCGGCAAAGAAGCAACGATAGAGTTTCAGAAGGAGAAGAACCAAGGTATAGGTTTCTACATCGCTGGAGGTTCTAATACTCCTTGTGTGAGTATTTAATAATTTTCAATATTTAACTTATTCGCGTGATGTCGCAACGCAATACTTTTCAAAATTTCTTTTATTTTTTTATTCGTGAGACGATTCTGTTAAAATGTAGAATACAATAAGTGACAAATATCATAAGTTAGATATAGATTATATTAATTTCAAAAATATTAATAACAATTTAGTAATTATTAAACAATTATCGATGTTAATATTTGCACTCTTGAGAGATAACAATCCTTCTAGAACGGAGTGTTCGTTCTGGACGTATCTCCTGAAGGCGCGGCTGGGAAGGACGGCCGGTTACAACTAGGCGATCAGATTCTCAGCATAGGCAATGAGAGCTTCATGGAAATAGAGTACGACAAAGCTCGCGAGACAGTCCTGAAGCAAGCTCCTGGGACTGTACGTAGCATTATACTCTGTTAAATAATTACATTCATTTTAGTGAGCGAAGAGAAGATATAGGACAGTTCTTTTGAGACATAATTTATACACAGCAAAAGACATTATGCATTTATATTGAAATTGGTCCATCCAAGTTTTTGTTAAAATTTTATGTTGGATTTTTAATTCAACATATCCAAGTGTTAATTTAACACAATATTATTATACAATATTATTCCAATATTTTATATTAAATTCATATTCAATATTTCTTTGGTGTCAAAATGACACAATTTATGAGTAAGTGAAAAAAATAACATAAAAATAATGTATTTTAAAACGAAAATTTTAAGAAGAATGAATAAAATATGTGTTAATTTAATATGTCGTAGATGTTAATTTTATTGAAGAAATATGCTTACAAATTGTGTCAGTGTTATATTTTTGTATTTTTTTTACATAATATCTTTTGTTACCATCTAATCTATTTATCTTGTGTTAAATTTGATACAAATTTGCCAAGTGTGTACAAACAATATAATTTATATAAGCAATATAGATTACATATATCCTCGTTCGATTGATTGAGCGAGCGTGACTTGATTTCATTGGTCGTTTACAGATCACGATGACGGTGTTCCGTCATGAGAAACCAGCCGAGGAATACGAGGTCGAGATACAGAAAAAGAGCGGTAAAGGAGCTGGTCTCTGTTTCGCCGCGTTCTGGAGCAACAAAGGGGTCTATGTGAAGGAGCTAGTAAGTTCGGTTTCTCCAATTCCATATCTTGATATATAATATCTATGTTTCATAATTTACGCTGCTCGCATTCTATTAATTTCTACTTCTACAGACAGCGGGCGGTCAGGCTATCGAAACCGGCAAGATCTGCAAAGGTGATCAGCTTGTAGCGATTGGTGGATTGGACGTCCGCGACGCTTCCCTGGACGACATCGCCTTTCATATGAAGATATCTAATCCGCTGCAAATGAAGCTAGCTAGGTATCATTCCGCCAAACAATGACAGGTAAGAGCGACGTGTTAGCTAAGCAATTAAATCGAAACATTAAGCAAAATATATAAGAACTATACTAAAAGAATTTAAGACTTTACTGAAATGTTTAAAAATTTAATTGATTTAGATCTGAAAATTTGTTGAGCTATTAAAATAATCATAGGAAACTCAAGCATAATTTTATCAATAAATAATCAAATTTTTGTAATAAAAAATCATTTGGACTTTTATGATGTCAAAAGATCATTTTGACTTTCTCTTGACTTGATGTGTTCCTTACACAGTAAAAAAATTTATGTTTGTATTGAAAACGATCCACTCACATTCTTGTTAACAATTTGTGTTGAATTTTTTAGCATATTCAAGTGTTAATTTAACATAACGTGATTATTTAAAGATTTTTTTGTGAAATTGATATTCAATGTTTTTTAGTGTCAAAATGACACAATTTATGAGTAAATGAACAAGTAACATAAAAATAATGTGTTTTAAAACGTAAATTCTAAGACAAATGAATAAAATCCGTGTTAATTTAACATATCATAAATGTTAATTTTCTGACACAAGATATGCTTTCACGATTTGTTTACAAATTGTGTCGATGTTATTTTTCTTTGTATTTATTCTCTTACATAATATTTGTGTTACCGTCTAACATATTCATCTTATGTAAAATTAACTCAAAAATTTGAGTGGACCGTTTGGGACATGCATTTATGTTAAATTCAACACATTTTTTCCAACTGTGTAGAACGCACTCTGAGTGTCCACTTTTACTTGAGGGTACAATCAAGACAAGATAAGAATCGTGACTCGACGATAATGAATATGATTAGCGAATATGAATTATGTATATATATTCTTTTTTTTTTTCAGGGTTCTGCGGGCGGAACTCTCAGCGTGTGTCCCAACGTACGAAGAAGCGCCTGCAGACACCGTGGATTCTAGTGTGATATACGTAGATAAAATAACGTCTCGATAAACCGTAAGAGTATCTTTGTTACAAGAGCCGCGTATAGAATTGCGCGACTCGCTCTATTAGTTACACGCCAGCGTCGCCAATCGATCTTGCCGTTCAAGCTCGCAGACTCGTGTGCGACGTGAGACAGAGAGAGAGAGAAAGAGAGAGAAATAGAACGAAGAAGATGGAGCACGACAGAGCGCGATGACTCAAACGTACACATCAATAAGAATCCGAGACACGGCGGAAGAAAGAATTTTTGTAACCAGCTTGGTAGAGGGTATTCAAATCGAGTGAAATCCCGTCGACACGGATCGATCGGCCATTGATCGAATCCCGTAAACGATTCCGTCTGTCGATGCTCGCGCTCGTGCAAATAGTCGATACGAAATATCTTATATACATACATTATTATAATTATATATATAGCGAGATAATACGTTATCGCCATGACGAGAGTTCAATAACGGCGACTGTTCATCTCGTTCGGCATAGGAAGCCGTAGGACGGATAAATCGATAATATTCCGCAAGTCTACAATCGAGGCTCATGAAGAGAGAAAGCCGCGGAATCGTCCAGATTTGGTCTTTTTCTCTTCGGCTTACGCCGTTCCCCTTGTATCCCCGATACAAAATCGAGTCCGCTTGTATATTTCGTATCGCATCTTGCGTACACTTTAAGACAGGCAGAGATAGTAGGACCGATTGTAGCGCGCGTTTTCTCGATATGTCAAATATTTTTCCTCCTTTTCCTTTCTTTTTACGATAAGACTCTAGTCCAGCCTAAGATCGACATTTCGGCGTTTCTCGCCTTAATTATCGCTCTCGCTCGCGCCGCGGCCGCTTCCGCCATAGTTATTATTGTCGTATATTGTATTTTTTAATATTAATAAGAAGCACAGGACGCGATGTACGAGCTACGTCGGAAAAAGTATCGAGGAAACTTTACCTTGACGCCCATATTTATATCGACCGTTGTAAAAAGTTTTTCTCATCTGTCCAAGCTTGCGTAAAATACACCAATTTGGTAAAATTCGTTTTACGAAAGATTAGAATTTTACGAAACGCGCAGCTTTATTTACAAATCAAAGCGACATGAGATGCGATTCCCAGTCGACACAAATTTTTAAGTAACATGACATGAATGTTATAATTTTATACTTAACGATATAAATATAATATCTGTCTGTTCTTTTTAGATGAACTTTTTGCACGGATCATCTTTTTTCTTTCAACATGAAGAGGAAAAGAAAAAAGATGAATCATGCAAAAAGTTCAGATAAAGAAGAACAAGTCTAAAATATAAAAGCAGGAGCACTTCTATAATGCATAACGTATGATGCATAAGAAAATTAACCAATCAAAGTCCTTCGTTTCCTTTCTTTTCGTGAAATAAAAGAATCTGGTTGATTTTCTTATGTCTTATGCGTTATGCAAAAATTTGTGCTTCTGCCCTAACATATGGTGTCACATAATAGTTGCATTGTTGAATGCGAATATATGACAATGATGTTACATATAGCACATTTTATCCAAGAGATATCCTGGGAACGTCCTTAGAATGTTTAGAAAACATAGGGACATTCTCTGGACATTTTCAGAACGTCTCTTAGAGGTGTGTATAAAATATTACTAGTTGAAAATTATACTCGCTATATCATCAATAGATGGATTTTAATTCTTGAACAGTAAAGTGTTTGCGCAAACTTTGCGCAGTTCGCGCGTGGATATCGCTTCGAAGTGGCTCGTACGTTATAACAATCGATGTAGAATATCGCCTAAAGAACATTAGAAGTAAGACAAGGGGAAGAAGACACAACATACACACATCCTTCGACATAGACCGACGAAATACGGGAAACGGTCGCGTCGAATGTCGAAACGTCGATCGAGAGGATCATTTAGCTGTAAGTGCTTGGAGACGCGCGCTTGAAATTATGCCCGGTGCGATCTTGCCGTACAATCGAGAGGTGTTTTCTGGCACCAAAAATGGATGGCGGATATCATCCCGAGTGTTCAAGCGTTTCTTTATGCTCTGACCGCCGTCAAACATGGCAGATGACGCGTCGAAAAGCTAGACTGGCTTGTTGAGTACACATAGTTAAATTAAATCCTATCGTGTAACTAGTCCTTATAATACATAGCTTAGAGATTTTCAGAGAGAGAAAGCAAAAAAAAAAAATAAGTACAGAGAGAGAAATTATATAAATGAGTAAATAAATAATTATATGAAAAAATAATATAAGTACAGAATCTATAATAAGAGTCGCGGAACATGTTTTAATTTAACGAGTCGCTCGTAACTGTCATCGTGTGAGTGGTTGCACGTTCTAGAACGTTTTGCATTTGAATCTCGTATAGTTTATCGTAGTGTGACGTTTATAAAGACGTCGATCCTCTTTCTCGGGCCGATGTCTTGAAGATGAATAACATTATAAAAACTGTTAGTTGTATGATCATTATTATTATATATTATATAGTATATTACGACGAGTTGTATAAAGAATTAATTATTGTGTATTGTACGATGCGTTATCGCATATATTAAAGTTTGGATTTTCAAACAGCAGATAAATAGAGCAAATCTGGTAAACAAGGCGTTGAAAATCGAAAAGCGGACTGTGTTCCAAATAATTATTATTATTGATCAATAATTATTTTTATTAATTGATAATAATAATTGTCGAAAGAGATTTTACTAAATGAGGATACATATAAAGCGTCTTTCTCCTTAAATTTATTAATTTATCATTTCTTAATTTACACAAACGTGCAAAACTATTTCTTTATATTTTTCAGTTTTATATCGGTGTGTTTTAATGCAAAAATCTTTTTTTTTTAATTTTAAACAATTTCTTTTCTTCTCATTTTTACGCGACCTGTCAATTTACACTTCTTACTCGTTATACGTATGTATACATATGTTATTTAGCTTATTATAGCTTAGAATCTTATTCAAAGTGTACTTTATATTTCTTACCTACACTGCTTTTTAAAATTTCATTAAATCATTAAAATACCGATGACGATAATTGTCGCGTTTCTACGATGTTACGGAAATATTTCGGCACTCGATAGTCATACGGGCTATCGGCGCGTTCTTAGAGAATTTTACCTGAGGTATAGAATATAAATGCGTCTAGTGTTAGCTGTGCGGAGGAATGAAGGCAAACAGTCCATCATGAGAATCGCTGATCTGTATTTCGCGTCACCAGATTCGAAGTTACGTCTCGTTACTGCGAACGTTTAATATCGGATTGTCGAAGGCATAGCAGACATCTGTTACGACATCTCGTCGTAAAATTACATCACAAAAGACTCGCAAAGTACTCCTGTTCGTCGACCGTTTCGGAAATGCATCTACGATCGCCATTGTGTTTTCAATTAGCAGGAGATAATGATTGCAACGGCGTCGCTCGACCAAAGAAATTCCATTCGTAACTCTAATTTCGCTGTCGTTTGCGTCGGAGGCACTTTTCACCTCTTAAGAGGAATTTCTTTCTATTAGCCGAAAAAATAAGCTGTTTTTAGGAATCTTGTAACGGAAACTATTTGACTCAAACGTTTGAAACTTCTTAGCCAAAGAAGGAAGAGCAAATATGGACGCAAAAATTCATAGATATTCATAAAACGTATACCTTTTACGTGTAAAAAATTCAAAACGTTGTATAAATAGTCTTTTTTTACAAAATTCCTAAAAAACTTAATTTTTTCAGGACCCAGAAAGGAATCTCTTAAATCGAATTTATCTCGAATTATTTTGACGCGATTACGCAAAGCGTGGAGACGCAACTTCGAAAACGGTTCGACGTGAATATACGACTGCCTCGATATTTATCCTCCATAGTTACAGTTTCTGTTCACATATGCATTTATTGTACGATTATTAATAGCGTTATTGCACACGAGCGGGGCGATTGTAAAATGGCTCGAGGACAATCCACGGATGATTCACCGTGATTGAATCCGAATAAAAGTGAAACGGATGAGAGAATGATAAAAAAAATATCTCGTGCAGCTCTCGTATCATGTATTTTAAATAAGTAAATTAGAAGATCCGATTGTCATTTTACAATCAACGGCTCACAGTTATTGTCCTGATTATTGTTATCATGATTATTACAGTCGACGTCATGATCATCGTAGCGCGGCACTACCGAGAATAAGAAAGAAACTGATTATTATTATAGAATAAGAATAAATCGGAGGAGGGGAGGGGGAGAGAGAAACGGAGATCTATTAAAAGCATTAATTGCAACGTTGTAGTAAATGATGTTTGTTATTGTTGCATAAGTAATCTCTTTACGTTATTTTTACCTTTTATGTGTTGTTTTATTAATCGACGACGACGGCATGTTAAGGTAAGTAAAATTGCAGATGACTGGAAACATGTTTCGTAATATAAATTCCTATATTTCTCAGCACATAAGTAAAACAATGAAAATCTATATTTTCCATTATATTACCATTTTTCGCTTACAGAAATTTTATACTGAATAATCAAGAGAGGATAACTGACAAACGCGGAAAACTCGCCTTATCGTTTTTGAAATATTATCTTATTAATCGATGATGGCATATTAAAAAAAGTTAAACACACTCGTTCTGCTCCAATTTTAGTAATATAAAAAAAATATTTTTTATTTTTACATTAAGAGCTTTTTTTTTAAATGTTCGCTTATCATAAGCTGTATATGCAAACTGTACTGTGCAATAAAAGTGTATTCTTAAATATTTCAATGCTTCCAGATTAAAAACATATTTCGGAATATAATATCTACGTTTCTTTAGCATATACAATATTAAAATAGCTAAAAATCATTTTCGCGATATTTTCATTTTGATTGCAGAAAGTTTTATTTTGGAGCCGCAATCGAGAGAACAATCACGACAAACGCGAACGTAGAAAACTCGCTTTGAAAATTGCTTTGGAATAAATTTTATTTCTCGACTTGCGTTTGAATGCAATTTCATCCATTCGAGATCGAATATCGATCTGCGACGGGACCCCAGTGTGTTTCATAAATGATTCGAAAATTTTGACGGCGCACGTGTCATTTTTTACGCGCTTTTTTTCGATTAATTAATTGTGTATTATTATGCGCTTGTGACCTACTTCTATCGCTGATATGCAATTTCTTTGGCCCACTTAGAAAACGTTTTTGAAACAAGAAAAGTAACGACGATGCTATATAAATCGCATCATCACGTGGCATCTCCTCGCTCGAATTGGCGTTTACTAATTAATATTGTAATTATCTCGCGCCTTATGTACGTGTAATCCATCTCATTGAATACGTATCAGATCCCGATTGTCGTGCGAGATGATTTCACTTACGAAGGCCGCGAAAGCGAGGCGATTTTATATTTTCGCGGCGTATCGCTAATCTCCAAGAGATTATTTGTGGAACATCTTAATTTCACAATAACGGGAGTTATGAAAGTTCTATAACTTTTGCCTAAATCACGGGAGAAAATTAATCATGCGGCGACAGATATCTGGTGCGTGAAGTACGTATTGGGAAAGACAAGAAAAATCTGCGGTCACCCGCGTATCTTCCACGGGGCGAAATAGAGCGACGCGGGTTCGCTAGATTCTTTCGTGAAGCGTGAAATTCCACGCGCTAATAAGAAGAATCCGCGTACAGCGAGCGAGCGCTTCGGAAATCGAACTTGACCCTGAAAGTTTTGTTGATCGCTTTGACAATCGGATGTCAAGAGAGAAAGGCGAAAAGCCGACGCGTGTGAGAATATTCAATGCGCGAGTTGACGTCAATTGGTCGTCGACACGCTGGATGTTCAGCTTTTACTTCAAAGTGACACGCTTTTCGCAGATGTTTCTAATGGCTAATTCCAAACTTGACTATGTATCTTATAACGTGTCTTTCCTTAATTTTCTTCGTTTCCATGAAGAATTAATTCAACTTAATTCCAATAACATTTGGAATAGGTAAACATTTCTCAGTATTTAAACTATAAAAAATTAACATTTTTGTGTTAATTTTAACATTTTTGCATGTCTCAGAAAGTCCACTGTACGCCTTCAAGTTAAAATTAACATTTTATTTTTTACAGTGTAAAAAAAGTAACTCCAAATTAGCGTTGTTATATGACACATATTTTCTCTTTTCACATCTAACTTCTTTGATGAAATTATATTTCACTTTTACTTTTCTTCAGCAATTCATTGCGTCGTCGCATCCACAAAAACACATGTATACATGTTTGGCATGTGCATGTTTGAATGTATGCATCTGCATTGCGTCTATATTGTAACGAGAGATAAGATCCGTGTTTCTATAAATGATTATACCGATCAGTTATCTCTGCAGTTAAGAGAATGTATTCAAAACTTCAAATACGAATAAAAAAA